CAGCTGTATCTCTACCACTGTCAAGAAAAATAGCACCAGCAATAGACTCAACAATGTCCCCAAGAACTTTCGGAGCTTTGCAATCTCCTAGACCAAAGGAGTTGAACCCTGGCTTTGACAATTCACCTTGAACTTCCTTTCACAAAATCCCTGATCTGGAAAACAGATGTCCAGAGAACCATGTCAGCAGGATCCTCATATGAAGGATTAAGATTTAATCAAGAAACTCAGAGTCATGTCATCTAAAATAACTGAGGAACAGATAACGAATAAGATTGAAAACCTGTTTTTCAAGGGCACTCGACCCATGCCGTAAGTGTAAATGGAGCTTATGTTTAACTGCAACACGTGCAAAGTTTTCATTGTTCACAGCAGCAGCTCGCAGGTCAGTCAAGCGGCCTGGGGGCAGATCTGTATACATGAAAAATAAGTGCCTTGTAATGAGATGGTCTAAGACAGCATCTCCCACAAATTCCAGTCGCTGGTAGCAGGATATTCCAGAAGATGGCCGTGACGCATGAGTAATAGCTTCAACCAAAAGGCCCCAATCTTTGAATTTAATGTTTAAGGCACCTTCAAGAGCATCAAAGTCAACACTCCTTAGTATGCTCTCAGGAACTGTGGTTGGTCTTACTGCACACTCTATCTCTTCAGGATCAGACTCTACCTGAATGCCAATCCATTTCATGAGGTGATTAGCTGCATTTTTGCCACCCTCAACATAATAGACACCAATTAATGCTTCGACAACATCTGCTAATGTCTTGCTAGAAAGGACTCTGTAGGAACTTGAGTCACTCTCAAGCTCACCATCTTCCTTTTCACCATCTTCATAATCATCATCATGGAGATTAGTTCCTGCTTTATCCTCAGTAAGCAATTTCTCCTGGTCAAATAAGTCCTCCTTTGTATCTTCATCAAAAATCGGCAGCACTCCTGGAGCAGCCCATCTAGATGGAGCAAATCGATCTGCTTGGATATATGACTGCAGTCCCTTGCTAAGGGCATACTGGTATAGGACCATGTTACTCACCATTTGTTGTCTCATCCTAGTGAGTTGACCTTCATGTTTCTGGGGATACTTAAGAAACAAGAATCGACTGACAACCCATTTCAAATAAGCATCTCCCAGAAGCTCTGCTCTCTCGTAACAGAATGTCTCCTGGCATGAAGCAGCAGTCAAGGCCTCCAATATCTGTTGACATAGTAGACATATATTGGTTAACGAAGCGGGTCCGAACCATTTTCTTTTTGTTTTCTATGAGAGGTGAGGGGAGAGGGGCTTGTTGAATGAAGTGAGGAATGGTTGAGAGCCCCAAAGACCATTCAGCTTTGATAGACATAATACCTTTGATGCATGGACAGGATAATCTATTATATCCTTGAGCTGAATCGCAAGCAACATACTTTCAACCCTCCTCATTATCGAGGGTAACCTCTGGGCACCTCGAACGAGTGATCCAGGAAGTGGATGTACAAAGCAGAGCTCAGGAGGAAGAAACACATAATATGTCTTATCAAGCGTCTCCTCACATTCACATTCAAGTGCTACATAATAATGCGTTCACTTTTAACTCAAATATTAGGCAAGGAAAAATAATCCAAAAGCAAGTATGGCTTCTTAAATTACCTTCTGAGTGTTCAAATCGTGGAGAGAGGAGGTTCTTGCAATATGAAACACCACGTCCTCTTATTAAAGGTTCCCGCTTAAATAACAGCTCAACCCCATACCTGTTAACAATAAAGCAAAGACTCAACAGCCCAATACACCCTTTGTTGTGCATGAAGAAGTCAAAAGCACCTCCAGTCTATGAGGATTTACAACTACCGTCAACAAGAAGTTTAAGTAGTGTGGTTGTGAAACCCACAAATATTAGAACTGACAGAAGTTGCTATTCCTTCACAGATGAGGATGAGCTTTTAATTTCTCCCAGCACAACATCTGAGGTGCATTATGGCTATCAAGTCCTCATATTACAAAGAAATTAGTAGCTCTTTGGCTATAAACTTCACTTAAGAACAAGAATGCAAAAGGAAAAAATTTTGAGAAAGGGCTGGATCATACTTTTGCTTATAGTAATCAGCATATGAGCTATACTGCAAAGGACCAAGATAGCCCTCTTTCCGAGGAAAGGAGGTCTCTGCAGTCATATCATAGCGTATTGAATCCACGTAAAACCTCTTCCCTGAATGAGCTGCAGTTACAATTTTTCCTACAAGATCTTGCACATTGGCAAGACCATCGGCCATCATAAGTTCACCTTTTGATAAATCCACTTTTTGCATTTCAAAAGCATTTCGATTAGGAATCAATCCAGAAGCTTTGACAACATCAAACTGTGCTACAGCCCCTCTGATACCATAAGTGGGATGGCACTTTTGTCCAAAAGCCATACCGTTACGTAATTTTCCAAATCCATACTCCCTTCTGTCTCCACCAAGTGTCCGCTCATTTGTACCAAGGTAAACATCTGGTCGAGCTCTCTGAAGGGGGTTGGTCCATGCATCTGCTCTAGTTATTTCATCAACCAAATCCCAGTCAATTTCTTTAAAAGGATCTACAGACTTATCGCCAACCACAGGGACAAACAGATATGCCTTTGTAGGATCCCAAGGCGTGGTGGAAGGTTCAACATCCACGTCTAGTACAATGCTCATCAATCGAACATGAAAGTTTTTAAGGGATGCCAGCTGTGTACACAAGAAAAATTCAGGGATTTAATCAATGAAAGGAAGAAACACGAACTTCAATATTGTTCTGATGATTAGATAAAAAATAACCTGACGTTCAGTAATACATATTGCACCCCTAAAGACAAGAGAGGCCTTTGTGATCATGGCCCGAGCGATAAATAGATCCATCGACATCGATAACACCTGTTAACATTAAGCATGACATTGTTAACACTTCTTTTTCTATCGAACATGTGCTATAATATACAAGAACAACGAATACCTCTGCATCCAGCTGATTGCCAAAAAGTACTGCGAAATCTGATACTTGAGTTAAGAATGGATCTTTTGAAACACCACTGTCAACACATTTAACCGCATACATGTAGAGATGAAGTTCGGAATCATCACAACAATCTCTTCCAGATAAGATCCACTCTCCCTGAGAATCACTTGCCAGTGTCATGTGAAGAAAGACAAGAATAATGAAGCATATATTAAAAATTTAGCAGGACAAGATCGTCCAGTGGTTGCCCTACCTAGCACTCACTATTTGGTTTCAAATGTTACAAGGGCACTTACCCTTGGCCAAAAGATAAAAAAACCATACGTTATGCACCACAATAATCTACTGCTATGAATTTCTACTTAAATCAATAATGGCAATGGAATTTAACCACTAATAACAGAAAAAGTAGACATTCCTATCATTTTTTTAGTGTAATAGACATTCCTATCCTTAGTTGTAAGATGATTTAAAATCTCATGTTAAGCATGATGAAAAGGAAAAGAGGACAAAATCTTTTACATTCAAACTGCCATGTCAACAGTCATTTGTCTTGGTATAGTTTTGAGAAGGACATTCTACAATTTGAGTGTTATATTGGTTAAGATTTGAAGGTAGATAGACATTTGTACCTCTGCATGCCAAGAGAATATTTCCTCATGTTCCACTATTTTTTCCATGATACGCAAGCAAGTATACAATCATTTTTTTTTTTAAATAGCAAGCACTTATGCAATCATACATTACTGACAACCATAGAACTACTCCACAAAGAAGGTGGATAAGGGGCAAGACAGAAGCACAGTGGCTTTAGTTATATAAACAAGATGCTTCTGGTCTGAGAAGTAATCCAGTAACCAAAATCATTTGCATTCATGTTTCTAAAATTTGAAAATTTCAATCTTATTCTAGCAGGTGAGATATGTAGACCAATAACTGATTATGTTGTTACAAAATTTTTTCAGCTCATTTTCTTCAAGGAGGAAAAAAGGGGGGAGGGGGTCTGAACTAACCTTAAGTATATCAGCTACACCTTCAGGATAGAACTCTCTATGTCTAGCAGTCCCAGGAAGTGCATCTCCTTCATCATTTTGGTCAACCTTTTCCACTTCTTCACCACTTCCCTTGTCGGGCAAGAGCATGTCGGTAAATGCTCCCATTTCATGGAGCTTCTTGCAAGCAGCCAAACACACAGCCTGCATATTGGACAGAAATATGCTTGCATAAATTTTCAGTAATTAACAGCAATAAACTTCTTGAATGAAAGTTGAACAGAACTAGCATAATTGCAATAACATGATTTTATACCTGCTGTGCAAGCCGCATTGAACTGCATATAGGACCTTCAAGCTTTTCAAATGGTGCATTACAAGGGAGTTGAAGCCGGCATGAATATTCAATGGGGCATCCTGGCTTCTCATGCCTCTCCATAATGAACTCAGGACGAAGTATTGAATACCTAGATAACAATCCAATGGAGCAAAAATCATCCTCACAAACAAACAAAGTATTTCAGTTCGATAGCTATAAAACAATCAATGTTTAAGTGATGAATCAATACCTGTCACTGGGTAACTGAGAGCAGTAAAAATGGATGAGTCCAACAGCAGAATTTAAGCTCACAACGGCTCCAGTGGTTTCCACCTGGTACACTGTACCGGGCATCACATCCACTGAAAGCAACCTTGACGTATCTTTAAGATGACTGAGGTCAGTTCTCTCGATTGCTTCCTTCCGCAAGGTCTCCTCACTGTTCCGAGCATTCCTTAAGAATGCCGCATGAGAAAGATTTTCCCTGGAAATAATTTTTTTTGTAAATCTTATTTTTCATACCACTAGTTGGAAGAAAATGCTCAAAATAAAGAGACAACATCTGTACCTCTCAACCATCAGGATATAATCTGATCCAGGCTTTCTAGCACGCCCCCTTGACTGAATATATGCCAAAACAGTTTTTGCAAGGTCAAAGCGAATGACGACATTGCATTGCCTAATATCAAGCCCTTCCTCAGCAACACTGGTGGCAACTAACAGTGTTACCTATCATATACATGTAGGAGAAATTTTCAGATGTGTTTGAACAATGCTTCAGCTCCAACAAATTGACTCGGAAAAAAAAAAAAAAATTTAAAACATACACGACCATCTCGGAATTTGGAAATTGTGTCCTGCATTTGGCATGTACGCATCTCCTGGCTGTTGTTGTGCCCAATCAAGCTTGCACACTTGATAAAACTTAGAGATGGAAGCTCAGAAAAAACCTGCAAACTTGGCAAAATATAACAAAACCCTGAGAGGGACTCGCAAGGGGACAGTAGGTCACTAAGGCTCGAACAAAATCATATATCTTAACCTTTGGAAGAACCAAAGCAGCCACAACTCGTTCAACAAAGATGATTGCACGAAAATCCTCTGTATGTTGATACTTCATAAGTATTTTAATCAATGACTGCACTTTTGGAGTCACTTTTCCGTCAGCTACAGCAGCTCCTATTATTACATCCACATGCTCCCCACCAGAGACGGCTACACCACATGCATGTACCAGTTGAGAAAATATCTTAAGCTTTATATCAAAATCACATAACTAATTCATAAAGCAAGAGCAGACAGTAAATATTAATCAGAAAATAAGAGAGTGCAGTTTTTGCCTGCTACAAGGCAAACCAGCAAGCGAAAGGTTGTTTTTCAAAAAAAAAAGGAAAGGTTGTTTTTCTTCTTCACTTAGATTACCCCAGGGAAAACAACATCATTAGCCATTTAAGCATACATGCTTATTCAACGTAAATCTACAGAAAAGAAACTTCCCCTTGTGTGCCTACATGCCAAAAATAAGAAAACAAGAACCTTACGCACATTGATGCATTTATTCCATCCATAGATCACTGACACCAGGGACCAATCTAAGTTTCCCAACCATGAATCAACTCTAGACAAGAATTAATAATTTAGCATTTAAAAGTCACTAATACTGGAACTAGACCCACCATGAGTATCAGGAAGCTCGCCCTCCTCAATGTCATCAAGATTATTTCCACCCAATTCAGTGTCATTTTCAGTGTCAACAGCTTTCATATCCTTGTCAGAAGCAGCACCCTCCGATAATAGGCATTGTAAAAGAGAGACAACTTTACTCAGGTAGGTTTCCTGAAATTTCACATCAAGCTGGTAGCTTACCCTTTCATCGTTTTGTAAAGCAGTCAAAAAGGATTGTGCAACCTGAAATTTATTCGAAATAGAGTAGTAAGTTAAAATTCCTATGACAATTCTTAGCAAGAATCACAAAAGAGAAAGAAAAGACAAACAAGTTTACTTCTAATATAGATATACATAAGAAAAGATATATTAGGTGAAGAAAAGAGAAATACAACCTCAAGCCTCCAGAAAACAAAAGAAACCAACATCCAAGAGAAGAAAAGTAAGCAAAACTATCAATTAAGCCAATCCATCTGTATCGTAGAAACAGGATCTAAAGAAACCATGTGCTTTAGCCCAGAGAGAAGCTATGCAAATCCCGCTCAAAGTTTATTAACAGAATAAGAATGCTGCCTGAGAGTTCTTGCATTTCTTTTGATTTAGAGAACCCATTAACCAGTCAAGTAGCCCCTCTGCAAAGCACTAAATGCACCTTAATCCTCCCAAAAGCACACAACAACTAACATGAAAAGTTCCAGGTTTTGGGATGCATCCAATGCAACTCAACCCAAAGGAGGGAAAAAATTCTTGACAAATCCTTCAAGCGACCTCGTAACACAGAAACAAATGAAGATCAAATTCCACATTATGAAAGCACATTAAACATATATAAAGGGAAAGAGCAGCTCAAACACACACTTCCACTCACCTTAACTACAACCAGCTCAAGCCAGAATTTTTTTACTTCTCCAACTCAAATTAGGACAATTAAAATTATTTCTTCTCATGACCAAAATACCCTTCTTATTTTTAAATATTTTTTTACAATGAAAAATGGAATATCATTGAATAGCACCAATGAGGTGCCACCTAAATATACAAAAAGGACCAAAGGTGCATAATTTTTTTTTTTTGAGATAAAAAGTGTAAAGTACATTAAAAGGCACCAAAGGGCCGCATTGTACAAAAGATTTACAACGACGTAATGGTATCTATGACATTGCCAAAATCATCCTCCCTATAAATGTCATATCCCAAAAACAAAGACCGAAAAGGATGAAGCCATCTATCCTTAATTTTTTTTTATCTCACCATCTATACCATCGAAAGCCCTAGTATTACAAAATGTGTATAAATCTAAAAGCAGTCAATATGCCAATTAAGTCCCTAACTCTTTCGCCGAATTGGATTGGACTGCCGTCTAAGAAAAAATTAAAGTATGGAACCTAAATATCCTGAACTCTATCAAAAGGAAAACAAGTTTCCTTGAATCTCTTCTATTTCCTTTCTTCCAAATGATCCACAAAATAGCCAAAAGAACAAGTGAAATAAGCTTCTTCTTCCTCTCATTTCTAAAATACTAACCACCACAACTCCTAGCGCTACAGGTTAGTAACCAGCACTACCAGCAACCACAATCATATTCACAATCACAATCACAATCACCAATCAGATTCAAGGATCACGTTTAACTCACAATAATAAATGCCATACAGGTCTGCATCCTGGTTCTAGGACTGGAATAGTACTTATCAGTCTACTGAAAATTTCAATAGCTGTTTCGGATTTATTATTATTTTATATTTTGTATATAAAACTATATATAGACAGATAATATTAACAATAATAATAATCATAACAAATTCATAGAAAAATGATAAACTAAATAAGTTAGTAACTTATATTAAACATAAGTAGTATGTTTCTAAAATAAATCATGTACATCTAAATGTTAACTATACAAATACATTAAAAAAGTCAAGCTCATGTTTTAAAGCACAAAATATAAAATACAATACTAAAATAACTATAAATATATTAAAATTAAACATTTAAGTTAAGCTTCCTAAATTAGAACTAACCTTATGTTTTATTTTAGTTTCAGTAAAAAAATTGAAAAATTTATAGTTGATGCCAATTGGTACAGGTATTGGATGGTATTGACCAATTTGGAATAGTACTTAATTAGGTACCAAATTCTATCTATCCATTACCAGTATTAGAACAGTAAGGTATGTACTGTCTAGTATAAAGCAGTAGAATACAATATTTATTTCATTGGCTTAACTGCAATCAGACCTATCACATCCGGCCTCATCAATTGCTCAACTGCTTTAGAGGCCTGGGGTTTGCTAGTAGATAGTCAAGTGACTAAAATTTCAGTTTTCGTTTTTTGTTCTAATCATTTTTGTAAATAAAAATGTCGTAGTATTGATATTAATAATAATACCAAAGGGGTACCACCCATATGCAAGATATTTACACATCAATTAAAGATCAATGACATTCTCAAAATC